GATCGCTGCCGCTGGAGCTGCTCTGGCTGCTCTGCCCGAGCTCTCCCCAGTCATTACCAGTAACGCCTGGACTCCCACAGCCCCAGGCACTGCTGGACGGCCCCCTCCATCCCAGCGTGCCCAGAGTAACCCCCGGACCCCGAGGGACATGCGGCAGAGTGTGGGCAGAGCACGGCAGCTGGGAGGGGACCCTTCCCCAGGGGCGCCCGTGATGCCCCGTCCTGCGGGGTGACGCAGGAGAGCATCCCCTGAGCCCCGCTGCCTGGCCCTCACGGCCCCAGCCAAGGGGACACGGGCACCGTCCCCCCCACTCGCACCTTTCCCAGTTGACCCCTTCCCAGCCCAGGGCCCCGTCCCACCCCAGGCACGTGCCTGCGGATGCGGCAGAGGCATTGCCCGGCTGCGGGGGTGAGGAGCCCGGGGGTACGCACACGCCGTCCCTGCCGGGGAGGGTGGGCAGCCCCCCAAGTCCCTGCCGCACGCTGCACCGCGGCCTCTGGCAATGCTGAGCGTGTCCCCTCGAGCACGGGGAGGAGCCGGGGGGCTGGTCCCAGCACAGCTCTGCTCCGTGGTCCCGGGCGGGCTCTAATGCCCTCTTCACACCGACCCAGCTATTGAGGACACCCCAGCCATGATGACGTCCCCCCTCTACCTGGAGATCATCATTTACTGCACTGGGGCCTTCCTCATCTCCTGCATGGTGGTGACCGTCATCATCTACAAGATGAAGAGCACCACCAAGAAGACAGACTTCAACAGCCAGCTCGCCGTGCACAAGCTGGCCAAGAGCATCCCCCTGCGCAGACAGGTAACAGAAAGTAGAGAGGGGGTTTCTTTGCACCTACTGCCCCCCCCGGGGGACCTGCCCTTTTTGGGGGGAGTTTTCTGGATGACAATGGATCAGGGGAGACCCAGGGCCATCTCACCCTGCTGCACGTGCCACCCTCTCCAGGCTTGTGCCCATCCGTGGCGTGGGGTGGGGACCATCAATGGGCTCTGCCCTCGACTGGCAGCGCAGCCAGTCTGGGGGGGCTCGGCGAGGGTGATGAGGAGGACCAGAAGGCTTTGCAGCAATTTAATGTTCGAGCAAAGAGCGTTATTTTACGCGCCAAGGAGACGGGAGGACTCCCAGGCCGTCCGTTTTGTGGTGTCGGCGTGCTGGAAATTAATTCAAAATCACAGAGCCCGGGTCCAACGTGGAAGCAGCGCTGACGGGGCCCCACGCCTGCCGGTGGTGCTGGGGGGCAGCAAGGGCTGCGGGTTGGGGTGTGAAGGCTCCCAGCAGCATCTCCCTCCCGGCGGGGCCGCCAGCTGCGGCGCCCGGCGCTGCGTGAAGGTAACCCACGGTCCCCGCTGCAGGTGTCGGCCGACTCCAGCTCCTCCATGAACTCGGGCGTGATGCTGGTCCGGCCCTCGCGGCTCTCCTCCAGCGGCACCCCCATGCTGGCCGGCGTCTCCGAGTACGAGCTCCCCGAGGACCCGCGCTGGGAGCTGCCCCGGGACAGGTGAGGTCCCATCCCCGTGGGGTGGGCTCTGCCCTGGGGACGAGCTGCCGGAGCAGCCTGGCTGGGAGCTGGGTGAGGATGGTGGCACCACGGTGCCATTTGCCAACACCGGCAACCGACCGCCCCCGGCGTTGGGGTCTCTCCTCCCACCAGGCTGATCCTGGGCAAGCCCCTGGGAGAAGGGTGCTTCGGGCAGGTGGTGCTGGCAGAAGCCATCGGCCTGGACAAGGACAAGCCAAACCGTGTGACCAAGGTGGCAGTGAAGATGCTCAAGTGTAAGTGGCGGTGAGAAGGGGGGGGGTCCCAGCATGATGCCAAGGGGGGCTGGGTGCATGCAATGAGGGGGAACCCAGCCTGGCTCCCCCTCCCCGACCGCTGCCTTCTCCACCACTTCAGCCGACGCCACAGAGAAGGACTTGTCCGACCTCATCTCTGAGATGGAGATGATGAAGATGATCGGCAAGCACAAGAACATCATCAACCTGCTGGGAGCCTGCACGCAGGACGGTGAGGGCGTGCGAGTGGGGAGGGGGCTGGCCCAGCACCCGCGGGGGGGGGAGCCCCTGCTCCATGGTCCGGCCGCTCACCCTGCCGTCCCCGCAGGACCCCTCTATGTGATCGTGGAGTACGCCAGCAAGGGCAACCTGCGGGAGTACCTGCAAGCCCGGCGGCCCCCTGGCATGGAGTACTGCTACAACCCCACCCGTGTCCCCGAGGAGCAGCTCTCCTTCAAGGACCTGGTCTCCTGCGCCTACCAGGTGGCCCGGGGTATGGAGTACCTGGCCTCCAAGAAGGTGAGGAGCTCCTGGGGGGCCCATGGTGGGATGGGGAGCCCAGCAGCTGGGCTCTGGGGGGATGCACCCTTCCCTCCCAGCCTGTTTCATCGTGGGGAACCATCTGGGGGCTTCGGGGACCGCCTGACGGCCCTGCGCTCCGTCAGTGCATCCACAGGGACCTGGCGGCCAGGAACGTCCTGGTGACCGAGGACAACGTGATGAAGATCGCTGACTTCGGTCTGGCCCGCGACATCCACCACATAGATTACTACAAGAAGACAACCAACGTGAGTGGTGGGCGAGGGGCTTCTCCGGGGTGGGTGAGGGCAGCAGGGCTCTCCATGCAGGGGATGCGCCAATCGGCGCTGG